GCAGGTCACAGCAGTCCCTTAAAAGGTGGGCCAGAAGCAGCAGCCAAGTCCAGAGCAACTAGGTCGGGAGCGGCAGTGACCAGACCCGGAGCAGCTGGTTGTGGAACAAACCAGAGCAACAGAGGCCAGGCCCTGAGCAGCCAGGCCTGGAACAGCTCGCTCCTCGCCTGCCCCTGCCCCACGGCTGCTTCTCAGACATGGCTGGAAACTTTCGTGGGAACTTGAGGGTCTGCTGAATCAAGTGATGAAGGCTTAGATCTGGATGTGTTGAGTTAGTATAGGGCTGGGGTGTTGATCTGTGAGTGCCTTGGGTGGGGCCTGGATGAGGCTGGTGGACCTATTGGGAAATGTCTTTTGTGTGAAGTGTATCATTGGGCATGTGGAGGTATTATTGATTTGAGAAAATGCTAAGTTACTGATTTACTATGTGAAAAGGGATTTACTATTGGGGAAAGGGAGGGAAGAAGAGACTGAACATAAACTGCACCTATGGATGAGGACAATGGGGGATGGGGAGGGGGCGGAGGGTGGGGTGGGAACCTAGTGGAGGGGGGAAGAAATGAGGAACCTTTGTAATAATATGAACAATACAGATTGATTTTTAAAAAAATAAAAAATAAAAAATAAATAAAATCAATAAAAACATAAAAAAATAAAAAATAAATAAAAAATTAAAAAAATAAAAAAATAAAATAAAAGGTGGGCCAGAAATTTTCTTTTAAAAAGATATATTTTATTGAGAGGAAGGGAGAGGAATCATTAGAAACGTCAATGAGAGAGAAATATCAATCAGCTGCTTCCTGCACACCCCTTACTGGGGATGTGCCTGCAACCAAGGTACATGCCCTTGACTGGAATCGAACCTGGGACCCTTCAGTCCGCAAGCTGACACTTTCGCCACTGAGCCAAACCGGTTAGGGCTAGAAATTTTCATTAAGTCAGTAATTTAAACTTGGGATCTTAAAAAAAAAAAAAAAAAAAAGGTTAATAATGTGAAGAGAAACCAACCAACGAACTGTCATGTTTAAGATGTGTTTTTTTAGCCCTACCCGGTTTGGCTCAGTGGATAGAGCGTTGGCCTTCGGACTGAAGGGTCCCAGGTTCAATTCTGGTCAAGGGCAAGTACTTGATTGCAGGATTGATCCCCAGTAGTGGGTGTGCAGGAGGCAGCTGATTGATGTTTCTAACTCTCTATCCCTCTCCTTTCCTCTCTGTAAAAGCAATAAAATGTATATATTTTTAAATGTGTTTTTTAGAAAGCCTCAGTCTTGCTGATTTCAAATACTTTTTTCTTCTGTGTGTTGCTTTTAAGAGAGCCTTCTAAAAAGCAACTGGCAGAGTCTAGGTTGATACATTTTGTACTTAGCTGTACTGTGTGATATTTTTCATTATTTTAGGACACCAACATGAGACTTGTAATAAAATACCTCATGGGGTTGAAAGCTAATAAATCATTACGGATTAACAAGTGCTCCAAAGTAACATGACATAACATGACATAACATAACATAACATAACATAACATAACATAACATAACATAACATAACATAACATAACACATTTCCCTCCTGGAGAAACACAGCTATATTTCACTCATCATTGATCAAAGTGAGTCCAAGACAAATATGGAAACTCTTCAGCTCTCCTGAGAGTGCTTGGGACTCCTCTCCTCAAAACAAAACATCATTTTTCAACCAAGGTTCAAATCAAGCAGGCTGAAAGTTTGGGCAGAATTTAAATGAGATCTTCCCCTAAATTTCTTTCTACTCATTATCCCACTTCCCATCATTTGCCTCAGGAATGGGATATTGTTTATTGTAGTAAGAACCCAAGTTTTTATATTTCAAACTTTAAATATAAAAGAAAGCTGAGTACCTCTGGCCTGTGTTGACTGGTGTTGAGAGTGTTGGTCCTTGGACCAAAGGGTTACAGGTTCAATTCCCAGGCAGGAGGCAACCAGTCTATGTGTCCTCACTGGAAAAATATCCTCAGGAGATAATTAAAAACAAAAAATAAATCTGAGTGTATAATTGGGCTTCAAATGATAGGGAAGAATGGATTATGATCCAGGGTATTTCCACCTATTGTCCAGATAAAAATTCTCTGGGTCAGAAAAAAGAGAAATTACAACAGACATGGTAAGGGGGACAATGACATCTCATCTTTCTGAGCTGAATTTCAAAGCCCAGTCCAGCAAGGAAACAAAAGAATGGTCCCACATGCTTTAGGGAGGGACTGGACAGTGAGGAGAGACCTGAAAGACTTGAATCACTCTTGAGCTCGGAAGGAGGAGAAGACCAAAGTCCAGATGGTCTTCTCAGCCGATGCCAGAGTGCCTCCCAGCAGTCATGTATCATAGCAGTAGGAAAGCTTAATAGAAATTAGACAACAACCTAGGGGATTATGGGGGCAATGAATGGACTTAGCTTAAGTTTCCACCAACTGGTAGAAAGCGTAGTCAAAATAGAAATGCATGCATATTTTTAGAAGACAGAACTTCTAACTGCCCAAACACCCCTTTTATTTGCATCTCAGAGCTTGTAAATAGGAGATTGGTGCTTCCTGCACACATCCCCACTTCTATCTGATACAGTATAGCACATCCACATCATACTGGGAAGGTCATGCCTTTATACTCTCCCAAGACTTCTTCCAACAAAAGCACCATTGGAAATCACTAGGCTATGAGAAAGTTTCAAACCAGACTCTCACACTCAGTCCCTAAATTGTATGTTTATGAAGTCTTTTTTACTTTGACTCTCATTTACTTTGACTAGCATTCCCAGTTGTTATGCTCATATTTGGGCATCTCTGATTGCAGTCTCCAGCCATCTGGTCCCAGATCCATGCAGGCCCCTGAACTATAGTTTGGTATACTGCCCAAACACCCTTCTGGCGTTTTGCCAGATTTTGGCCTCATACATCTGATTCTCCATGCAGAGCTTGAACCAGCTATGTCACTCTGCATAGCTAAGGTGAGCCAAGGACTAGATCTGAACAATTGTAGAATTTAATCATCAAATGAGCAGAAAGGCCGGAAAATACACAAATTTTCAGTCACTTTGGTCTTAAGGATTACTAATCAATTTAATTATCTAATCATTTCTCTCTTCTGTACATGACCCCCTTTCTCTCAGGTTTTACAACCTGTATCCCCACAAGGTTTGTCATACTGTGGTCCTAATAGGGAGAAGAATGCATGGGAATGTGGCTGGGAGTGAAGATAGAGACTTTTCATAAAAATGAAAAGCAAGTGCACACTCTTCTGTGATACACTCTTGGGAACTTTATAGATGCTTGGAGTTTTATGTTGCTGGTTTTCCTTTAAGCCTCTGGATAATGAAAGATGGATAAGGTGAGAGTACCAACTGTGCATGTCTTCTAATTAAGTAATCACGAGTAACTCTGCTTACACCTGCAATGGAAATATGGAGTTAGGGAAGGTGGGAAAACAAACTTGAGGAGCCAGTGCACATTTTTTGATAACGTTAGATTATTTTTCTAAATTTCCTAATATATGTTGCAATTTAGATACACATGTTTAACCCTAAACTGCACTAATGTTATTAATTCATAGTCTTTATTCCTTTATTGGATACCTAATTCAAGGAATTGTGTTCTGTTATCTAACTTTAGCATTTCCTATGTACTCTGGAGAGTAGGAGCAGGGAGAATCCAACCAAATATTAAGTGTCTACCATGAGCCATATCCTGGGTCAGCTATGTCATGTATAAGGTGTCCCCTATTCCACATGGTGACTGTAAATCATACATTAAATCCACCATTGTTCATGTGGGTAAACTGAGGGAGAGATGCATGTAGTCGAATCAGGATCCAAGCCCATGATGATATGATCATATGAATTCCCAATTTTATATTTTCATATTTTCTCTTCTTTTTATTATATACCACACCTAAAAACTTAAACTGACTTCAGGAGCATTTGAGTTGTTCTCTAAATTTTTATTTTAAAAATGATGAAAATTTCATTCTGTCTATATGCTGGCAATAAAAAACATTTTTCAGTCTGAGCTGCTCAGCCATCCCAAATAAATTTTGTGGTTTGAGTCTTGGATGCTACAAAAATCAGTAACTTGGGAAGATAATACATGTACAGTTTCCTAGAATTTTAGGTTCTCACAAAGTCTCTTAGACTAAAACCATGTCTGAGGCTATATGTTACCCCTAAACAGAGTCTCCTGACCATCGTGTCTATAATCATCCAGCTTTGGCAAATGGAGTGTTTTATTTTTTTATTTTTTTATATATTTTATTGATTTTTCACAGAGAGGAGGAGAGAGGGATAGAGAGTTAGAAATGTCGATGAGAGAGAATCATTGATTAGCTGCCTCTTGCACACCCCCTACTGGGGATATGCCCGCAGCCACGGTACATGCCCTTGACCGGAATCGAACCCGGGACCTTTCAGTCCGCAAGCCGACACTCTACCACTGAGCCAAACCGGTCCCGGCGGCAAATGGAATGTTTTAAAGAAACTTTATCATTTGACAGTTCATTGTACATGGGCTCTTTTTTACATACGTATCTCATTCTTGTAAGGTCTGAGCATCTCTCCTTCCCCTAATTGTCCTCGTGATCTCCCTCTCCCACCAGACTAAGCTCTGAAATAGGAATGGGAAAGGAAAGGTTAAGGCCTACTTCAAGTTCAGAATGGAGAGAACACAGCATCTCCTAGGGAGGGGTAAGGAGTGACACTGCCACAGAGGATGGTGCTGGAGGCTGGACAGAGGCTGTTGGGTCAGTGGCAGGAGGTATGGCTGGCCCTGATTTCCAGGAGCAGGGCATACATGGCAGTTACATGGGTTTGGATCCTTCCAGCTGTTGGAATGACCGATGACATCAGAGGCTTCCGACCTTCCTGATTGGAAGGACCAAATTCCATGGTGCTTGGCAACGAAGGTGGGCAACAGCATTTTCTCCAAGAATTTGAACAGATCAGAGTCTAGGTGTCCTGAAAGGGAAGATTTGGGAGAAATCATGGCCAACTGTGGCCCAAGTTTCCAGCGTAAGAACCAGAGACCACAGCCTAGCTGCTCAAGGTGCCCCCTAGAGGTGAGAGTGGTTGAAGTCGTCCCAGGACCATCAGGTGAGGAGACTGAGGGCAGAGGGATTGGAGAAGGCTGATCATTAAGGAAAGGAGACCTGAGAATGGGGGGGGGGGGGGGGGGTGAGATTCAGAAAGCCTGGGTCTGGAGGAGAGCACAGGGACTGGGGACAAGGAAATCCCCATGAAAGGACAGCCTGGGAAGCTAGGAAGGAGGCGAGGAGAAGAGAGCCAAGGATGAGAGCAGGGAAGGGAGGAAACAGTGGAGGGTTCCTCTCTTTCCCCTCCAGTGGGAGAAATTATCACCAACAAGGAAGGGTTCTGAGGGCAGAGATATAGAACAAAAGATGAACAGAAAGATGGAAAGATGGCTGAGGAGGCCAGTAGTCTGAGACTGGAGAGAATGGACGGGTTTGTGTTTGGGGGGTGAGGTCGGTAAATAGGGTGGAGTTGGGGAGGGGGTTATGTGACCGGTAGCTGAATTCCAGGGGCAAATGCTGTGTACTGTAGCCTGGTTCCTTTACTCAGGCCCCTGTGCAGAGGGCAGTGCCCCGCCCCAATCCGCTAGCCGGAAGAGGAAGAGGGCGTGGCCCACAGAGGAGGAGCCTGCCTCTGGGGCTCAGGACTTCTGGGTGGTGGAGTCCCTGTGTGGGCTCAAGATGAAGTTGAAGAGACGGCGGGTGTCTTCAGTGCGACCAGAGCACCATCAGGCCTTCACCAGGCTGCTGGGTAGGAAGGGACCCTAGAGAGCACCCTCCAATCCTCCTCTTTAAAAAGGGCCTTCTTGGAAGGACTCTTTCCCAACAGAGAGCAGTTCCCTGCCCGTTAGTGAGCTCCCTCTCCCAGGGCTCATGTCCATCACTCAGGGGGCACGTAGAGAGAATGGAGGACTAGGTACACCTGAGAGGGTCTGCACTGGGATCAGGCAGCTCGGTTTCAACTGCACCCTCTGCGACTTCTCAGCTCTGACCGGCCTTCTGAGTCTAAACACCATCATCTGTGTACGAGGGCACAACAAGGCCTCCTTCCCACCCTGAGGGCGCTGTCCATGGGCGATGGCCATGGCGCTGGCAGGGGTACATCCATGCATGTGGATGGATTATTTAAGCTCTGAATCTTGCAGATATGTGACTGACACCCCACCTGTCAGTCGCCCCAGACTGGGTGGGTAAGGTCCAGAGGTCACAGTGCTTCCTTGCCCCAGGAACAGTCTCCTCTGTTCCTCTTTGTACTGGCCTCGGCCTTGGCCACAATCCTAAAATTCCCCAGGAGGGCCATGGCTCTGCTCTTGGCCCCGGAACGCTCCCATCGCAACCCTGTTGCTGTCCCCAAGCTCACGTCCGCCCTCTTTCACAGAGGACCCTGTCATTAAGAGATTCCTGGCCTGGGACACTAACCTGAGGCTCTCTGACAAGGTAAGAAGTGTTCCTGCTCTGCCATCTATCCTGGGGCAGGGAGAGCCTTCTGAGCCCACGTGTCTCTCCAAACTGATGCCTTGTCATCCTCCCTTTCGGGGACGAGGAGTCTCCTGCAATGTGGACGGGCAGCCCCGCCTCAGCCCGGCTCCTCCGGATCCTTTATATTTGTTCTCTTTCTGTCAGTATCTCCTGTCCATGGTGGTCGCTTATTTCAGCCGCGTGGGCCTCTTCTCCTGGCAGTACCAGCGAATTCATTTCTTCCTGGCCCTGTGAGTACCTTGCTTATTCCCATCAGTCAGTATTCATACGCTGGGGAGATGGAGGGAGAGGAGTTGCTTCTCTGACCTTTTGTCTATTTTTTTTTTTAATTTTTGTTATCACCCAGGTATATTTTTCTCATTGATTTTCTAGAGAGAATGGAAGGGAGGGGGAGAGGTGGAGAGAGAAAAACATCAATGTGAGAGAGACACACCCATTGGTTGACTCTCACAGGAGCCTCAACCAGGGCAAGGAACTGAGCCCACAACCAAGGTAGGTGCCCTTGACCGGAATGGACCTCAACATCCTTCAGCTGAGGCTCTAATTACAGAGCTAACCAGCTAAACCCTTTCATCTATTTTTATAACCTGCTTGTACTGTTTCGTCTAGGTATAAAAATGATAGAGTTGTATTACAGGGTTTTTTATACTGTACTTTGCAAAAGCCAACAACCCTAATGTCAGTTAAAATAAAACACAAAAGCTTCATAAAGAATTGATACCATTTCACTTTGCCCCAAACAAATAGGCATGGGACTAGCCATTTCTAACTCTCTCTCCTCCCCTTACCCCCACCCCCACCCCCATAACCATGCCAAATGTAAAATAGTCATACTCCTCAATACAGGCCCTCACTAAACAACACAGATCTAGCTCTGGATGATGTGCGACTGAGTTGGTAGGAGTGTTGTCCCCTAAACCGAAAAGTCAAGGATTTGATTTCCAGTCAGGGCACATAAGCAGGTTTCAGATTCAATTCCCAGCCCCAGCTGGGATGCATGAAGGAGGCAGTTTCTCTCTCTCTCTCTCTTTCTCTCTCTGTGTCCCTCCCTCCTCATCTCTCTAAAAATCAATGAAAATATTTCAGATGAGGATTAAGAAAAAAGTATTAAATAACACATCTATTGTAACATACTACCCAGGGTTGTTTCTTACAAATATCCCTAAATATCTTTCAAAAACACAAATTTAATCACATCACCAATCACCCCAAGAATTTGTTTGCTAATTTTCTTATAAATCAAGGCAAAAGTGTTCAGCTTTAATTCAGCTGTCTCTAAGGTCTCCATCAATACCCCTCTGGTATTCCATTCTTTGTTTCACTGCTCTTCTAAACACCTTTGCCTGTTTTCTTAATATTGCTTTCTGTCTAGGTATTATTTACACATATGTATCTGAAAAAAAGATGCATTCTTTTACTGATTCAAACAAAATATATTCAGATAACTTCTCTGACCCCCTAATTTCTACATCCCAGTAGTATGTTGTTCAAACTGTATTACAATGTGATATCTTAGATTACAATGACTTCTCTTCTTTCCCTTTCTCCTTCCCCAATCCCATTAAACTAGATAGCTCTAGTCAAACTACCAATGGCTTTTTTTCTTCTTTTTTTTATTAAGGTATTATATGTGTACATATCTTATCATTGCCTCCCCTCACCTCCCCTCCCCTCCCCTCCCCCCCGCACCCATACATGCCCTCCCTCCCCAGAGCTTTTCGTCCATTGGTTTTGCTTATATGCATGCATACAAGTCCTCCGGTTGATCTCTTATCTCCCCCATATCTCCCTACCCTCCCTGCTGTAATTTGACAGTCTGTTTGCTGCTTTACTGCCTCTGTATCTATCTTTTTGTTCAATAGTTTATAATGTTCTTTATTATCCATAAATGAGTGAGATCATGTGGTGTTTTTCTTTCATTGACTGGCTTATTTTACTCAGCATAATGTTCTCCAGTTCCATTCAGGTTGCTGCAAATAATAAGAATTCCTTCTTTTGCCAAAACTGGTTTGGCTCAGTGGATAGAGCGTTGGCCTGCGGACTCAAGGGTCCCCAGTTCGATTCCGGTCAAGGGCATGTACCTTGATTGCGGGCATATCCCCGGTAGGGGATGTGCAAGAGGCTGCTGATGGATGTTTCTCTCATCGATGTTTCTGATTTTCTATCCCTCTCCCTTCCTCTCTGTGAAAAATCAATAAAATATATTTAAAAAAAAAAAAGAATTCCTTCTTTTTTATGGTAGCATAGTATTCCATTGTGTAGATGTACCATGGTTTTTGGATCCAATCATCTGCTGACAGGCACCTAGGCTGTTTCCAAATCCTAGCTATTATAAATTGTGCTGCTATGAACATAGAGGTGCATATATCCTTTCTGATTGGTGTTTCTAGTTTCTTAGGATATATTCCTAGGAGTGAGATTACTGGGTCAAATGGGGGTTCCATTTTCAGTTTTTTGAGGAAACTCCATACTGTTCTCCACTGTGGTTGCACCAGTCTGCATTCCCACCAGCAGTGCACGAGGGTTCCTTTTTCTCCACAACCTCGCAAACACTTGTCGTTTGTTGATGATAGCCATTCTGACAGGTGTGAGATGGTACCGAATTGTCGTTTTCATTTGCATCTCTCGGATAATTGATTTTGAGCATGTTTTCATGTGCCTCTTGGCCTTCCTTCTGTCTTCATTTGAAAAGATTCTATTAGGTCCATTGCTCATTTTTTAATTGGATCATTTATCTTCCTTTTATTAAGTTGTATAAGCTGTCTGTAGATGTTAGAGATTAAACCTTTATCAGTGATAACATTTGCAAATATGTTCTCCCAATACATTAGGTTTTCTTGTTGTTTTGTTGATGGTTTCTTTTGCTGTGCAAAAACTTTTTATTTTGATGTAGTCCCATTTGTTTATTTCCTCTTTAGCTTCCATTGCCCTAGGGGCAGTATCAGTGAAGAAGTTCTTTCCACATATGTCTGAAATTTTGCTGCCTGTGGATGCCTCTAGTATTTTTATGGTTTCCTGTCTTATGTTTAAGTCCTGTATCCATTTTGAGTTTATTTTTGTGTATGGTGTAAGTTGGTGATCTAGTTTTATTTTTTCCCATGTATCTGTCCAATTTTCCCAACACCATTTATTGAAGAGACTGTCTTGACTCCATTGTATGTTCATGCCTCTTTTGTCAAATATTAATTGAGTATAGAGGTTTGGGTCGGTATCCAGATTCTCTATTCTATTCCATTGATCTATATATCTATTCTTGTGTTAGTACCAAGCTGTTTTGAGAACAGTGGCTTTGTAATACAGCTTGAAATCTGTTATTGAGATCCCTCCTACTTTGTTCTTCTTTCTCAGGATTGCTGTGGCTATTCGGGGTCTTTTTTTGTTCCAGATGAAATTTTGGAGAGTTCTTTCTAGTTCTGTGAAATATGCCATTGGTATTTTAATGGGGAGTGAGTTGAACCTATAAATTGTTTTGGGAAGTATGGACATTTTAATGATGTTGATTCTACCAATCCACGAACATGGTATGTTCTTCCATCTGTTTACATCTTCCTCTATCTCTTTTTTTAGTGTCTTATAGCTTTCCACGTATAAGTCTTTTACCTCCTTAGTTAAGCTTATTCCTAGGTATCTCAATTTTTTTGGTGCAATGGTAAATGGGATTGATTCTTTAGTCTCTTTTTCTGTAAGTTCACTATTGGTGTATAGAAAGGCCATAGATTTCTTGGCGTTAATTTTGTATCCTACTACATTGCTGAATTCATTTATTATGTCTATTAGTGTTTTGATGGAGTCTTTTGGGTTTTTTATGTACAATATCATGTCATCTGCAAATAAGAGTTTTACCTCTTCTTTTCCAATTTGGATGCCTTTTATTTCTTCTTCCTGTCTAATTGCAATGGCTAGTACTTTCAGTACTATGTCAAACAGGAGTGGTGAGAGTGGGAATCCCTGTCTTGTTCCTGTTCTTAGAGGGAATGGTTTTAGTATTTGCCCATTGAGTATGATGTTGGCTGTGGGTTTATCATATATAGATTTTATTATGTTGAGGTATGATCCTTCTATTCCCATCTTGTTGAGAGTTTTTGTCAGGAAAGGGTGTTAGATTTTATCAAATGCTTTTTCTGCATCAATTGATATGACTATATGATTTTTATCTCTCAATTTGTTTATGTGATGTATCAAATTTATTGATTTGCAGATATTGTACCATCCTTGCATTCCCGGGATAAATCCTACTTGGTCATGGTGTATGATCTTTCTGATGTACTGCTGGAGCCAATTTGCTAGAATTTTGGCATCTATGTTATTGAGGGATATTGGCCTGTAATTCTCTTTCATTGTGCTGTCTTTATCTGGTTTAGGTATTAGGATGATGCTGGCTTCTTAGAAGGAGCTTGGAAGTGTTCCTTCCTCTAGAATTTTTTTGAAAGGTCTGAGGAGTATAGGTTTTAGTTCTTCCTTGAATGAGTTTGGTAAAACTCTCCTGTGAAGTTGGCTGGCTCCGGGCTTTTGTTTGTTGGAAGCTTTTTTATGACAGCTTCAATTTCTTCCATAGTTACTGGCCTATTGAGCTGTTTAGATTCTTCCTGATTGAGTATTGGAAGGTTATATTTTTCTAGAATATGTCCATTTCCTCCAGGTTGTCCAGTTTGTTGGACTAGAGTTGTTCCTACTATTTTGTAACAGTCCCTTGTATTTTGGCAGGGTCTGTTGTTATTTCACTTCTTTCCTTTCTGATTTTGTTTATTTGGGTCTTCTCTCTTTGTTTCCTGGTGAGCCTGGCTACAGGTTCATCAATCTTGTTTATCCTTTCAAAGAACCAGCTCTTGGTTTTGTTGATCTTTTGTATTGTTTCTTTGTTCACTATGTCGTTTATCTCCACTCTGATTTTTATTATTTCCTTCCTTCTGCTTATACTGGGCTTTTCTTGTTGCTCTTTTCTAACTCTTTGAGTTGTAGGGTTAGGAAGTTTATTGTCATTTTTCCTTGTTTTTTTGCAGTAGGCTTGTAGAGCTATGAACTTCCCTCTCAAGACTGCTTTTGCTGTGTCCCATAGATTTTGGATTGTTGTGTTTTCATTGTCATTTGTTGCCAGGATGTTTTTTATTTCTTCCTTGATCTCTCTGATAACCCAGTCATTGTTTAATAGCATGCTGTTTAGTCTCCATGTGTTTGATTTCTTTGGATTATTTTTATTGTAGTTGATTTCTAGTTTTATACCACTATGATCTGAGAAGATGCTTGATATGATTTCTATCTTCTTGAATTTGTAGAGACTTTGCCTATGTTCCAACATGTGGTCTATCTTTGAAAATGACCCATATGCACTTGAGAAGAATGTATATTATGTGGCTTTGGGGTAAAATGTTCTGAAGATGTCAATTAATTCCACCTGGTCTAGTGAGACATTTAGGATTGATGTTTCTTTGCTGATTACCAATAGCTTCTTAAAATACTCCTCACAGGGTTGGTTTTGTTTTGTTTTGTTTTTAATTTACAAATGTTCATGTTATATTGAGTTTGTAAGATAATCAGTTTTCCACTTGACTGTGAGAAAAAGCATTCATTCATTCATTCTGTGAAACCTTGTACAGTCCATCTCATGTGTCAGGGAATTTGAGGATGGGAAGAGAATTTAAAAGTGCTGTTGAGTTAATGGGCTATAAATCACTTGGTAGGAAAGTGATGAAGATGGAAATGGGCAGGTCGGCCCCTGCCCACGGAGCTGTGTGGACACTGACTCTATAGGAGGCAGGTGTGCCCACATCCTACGGGTGAAGGGAAGGACCCACTTCCCCATTGAATTTTATTTTCATCATCAAAATCTGAGAGGTGCCCTCAGTCCCGCTCAGCTGCCTGGTGCCTGGGTGACCCACGGAGACACGGATTGGGCCCCCAGGGCCTGTGTGAGGAGGACCCAGCCTGTGTGCTTTCTGGGAAGCTGACCAGAGACAGAGTCCTTCCTGCCCTGCTCCTGACAGGCAACCTAATGTCCTTCCTCAGCTACCTGGCCCTGGACATGGAAGAGAATTACCACGCCCCTAAAGAGGCCATCTTGTCCTTCCTCTATGGGGAGAACAGCCGCTCTCAGCGCCCCTTGTTCCACAAACAGCGATTCCAGTTCTTCTGCTCCATGGGCATGAGGGCAATGGTCACGCGAGAAGAATGCGAAGAGGTAGGTGGGCTTTGGGATTGGGGAGGGGGGCCAGATGGGGGAGACCGGGGACCATGGGGGGTCGGTTTGGGCACTTGGGGATGACAAAGAATTGGAGACTGGGCCAGGGATGGGATGGGGTCCACCTGGAGAGTCATCATCTTCTCGGGGGGCTGTTTGTCCTTCCAGATCCAGGCTTTTGATCCAGAGCTCTGGGTGTGGGGGCGAGATCGCACCCTCCTTTCCGAGGCCACCAAGCCTAAGGAAGGTCCGAAGGAAGGCGGGTCTGTGTCCTCACAGGTACAGAGGGAAGGGTTTGTTGTCTCTTTAAGAAATCCTAGGAATCCAATGGCTGGACCCACGCTCATCATCCTCCTCCCCATCACCAGGCACTGACTCAGCTCCCAGCCAGAGCTCACACACAGCACCTCAGTGGGATGTGTGGGGGCCAGACCTCCAAATTTGATGGAATCATTTTAAACAGAGCAATTGGGTCCAAATAAGAGCTTTATTGAAATGTTGAGTTTTGTGAAAAGTGAGTAAGTTTCCAGTTTTTTTCCCCCCTATATATTGTGCCTTTCTATTGTTCACTCACTTGGGCCTTTCATCCCTCAGGAACGCCAACTATAGGGACTTTCTGTAGAGAAGTCAACAATAGGATATTAGATGGAACAGTCTCTATATAAAGATCAATAGGTAAATCCTGAGTAGCTATGTTCCATCCAAGTTTACATGCAAACAAATAGCCTATGGCCAGATCACCGTGTGTTCTTCATTTCTCCCGGCTCACCAATCTCTCCCCTTGCACCATTACCCGTCTCCCCTCAAGTTTACGGTCAAGGAAGTTTGCCAGAATGAACTAAGGTTGAAAAATAGTGGCTCTGCCATGGCTTCCTTTGATCAACACATGGAAGTTACAGATTGTGGCAGAAGATTAAGTTTTGGCTAAAATCTTGTGACCTAGCTATCTTAGCCCATTCTGGCCATTATAGCAAAATACCACAGCGGGTGGCTGATCAACAACAGACATTTAGACATTTATTCTCACAGCTCTGGAGGCTGGAAGGCTGAGGTCAGTGCTGGCATGGTGGGTTTAGCTGAGGACCGTCTTCTGTGCCTCAGATGCCAACATGTCTCCATGTCCTTACACAGGGGAAGGGGCGAGGCATCTCTCTGGGGTGTCTCCTAAGGACAGACAATAAGCTCATTCTTAGGGGCCCCATCCAGTAACCTAACCACCTCCCAGAGGCCCCCACCTCCTATCACCATCACCTCAGGGCTTATGCATTTGGGGGACACAAACACTCACACCGTAGCACTAGCCTCCTTCAGACTTAGTATAATGGTTAATCATCAGAATCCAGGGGGAGGAGCAGGGATGGGCACCTGGGTTCATGGTCTGTGGTGCTGGCATGGCAGTGATGTTTGCAGTGTGACTGGGAGTTCAGATGTGAAGGAGCTCGAGAGGGCCGAGGTGCGAGTGAGAGAGAGCAGCTCTCTCCCTAAGCGAGCTGCTCCCGGACAGAGTCACCTGGAGTCCTGGCTATACAGCAGGTCACTGGGTATATTAAGGGATGTTTGGACTCAGGGTCTTCAAAGTCCAAGCATCACACTTGAAAACAGTGGTTCCAGAGTGGGGTTGAAGGGGGCACTGGAGATAAAATGGGGCCTACAGGTGAGTCTGAACTCGGTTTGAATACCCTGGGGATTTAATCTTTACATGTGGAGAGCTGCCCGCTTGGAATGTGACGTCCTGTCTCCTCTTCTTACCTCCAGATCGCTGAGCCCCGGGCAGACTCCACTTTTCTGCAGGAAGTCAATCCAGATGCTCAGGACAGACTGGAGGAAGGGAAACACCATCCAGAAGAGCCCAGAAAGATCTCCGGCAAGCTCGATAGCTCTGTCTGTCCCTAAGAGCACTTATAGGAGTCTGCAGGAGGGCATCCTTTCCTAAGGCTCCATCCAAAATTTCACATTGCTTACCTCAAATATCCCCTGAGGTAGAAGCTGCAGGTCCCACATATTCTACACCTGGGTGCAACAGTTCAGAGCCATCTGATCTGAAGTTGGTGTTTGGGGTCTCAGACCAGGAGGGAAATACTTTAAAGTATAAAATTAGAGCCCTAAGTTTGTGATAGCTGAATGTATGCCATGCATTTTATCAGTTTGTTTAGAAAATGTTGCCCATAGGTTTGTTATATTTATTCTCATATTTAATATTTATATACTTATGTTAGGTAGCTTTGCGATAATTGCAGTTTTAAAGACACACTGTTCCTACAATGTTTTTAATGAGTATTATAGCTGGTAAACATATGTCAATATAATTTTGTCTACATTTTCAAGAGAGGTGTTTGGTTTTTTTCGTTTAATCTATTATATTTATGTAATATCAGTTATCTTATAGCGAGGTGGGTAGTTCTCCCATATCCTTATAAATATAAGTTTTTATTTTTTGGTCTTTATTAGTGAATTGTGAGAATTCAGGTGTAATTTTTTACCTTGCTGGGGTGACATGTGTGTATGTTAATTTAGATCATTAAAGAGAACAGGGCAATGCATCGCTTGAGTAAATACAATAAAGATGAATTCTCACCTTCCGATGTGTGGTCCTGTCAGTTTGACTAGCCTGCTCACTGTTAAGTGATAATGTCACTTTATGGCTTTGTGATTAATCAACCAAATTTCTTAACTCTGAGAAATAATCCTGAATTGTTTCCACGTATTAGAATGCACTATCTAGAGGCATTTAAGCATCATCATCCACACAAAAATGCCTAATATATTAAATATTGGCCACTTTAGGCTGTTAACTAAAACAGAGCAAAAAATCCTTCTGCTCAGAAATGCCTTGAACAGGAGAAACCAAGATGGCGGCATAGGTAAACACCTAAACTGCTGCCTTGCACAACAATTTCAAAACTACAACTAAAAGACAGAACCGACACCATCCAGAACCACAGGAAAGCTGACTAAATGGAAATTCTACAACTAGAAGGAAAGAGAAAAGCACACGGAGAATCAGAGGAGCTAAAAGGACTGAAGTACACATGCGCAGAGAGGAAGGGTGGCTGTCATTCTCTGGCGGGAGAGGGAAGGAAGCCCCTGACTATACTGAACCTCAGTTCCAACTGCACTGAACCCCAGTTCCAGGCAAAATGGGAGGAGTCTGGACTGACAGGTAAAGAGAAAGGCAAACGAAGACTCGGAGACTCGAGAAGCCGCGTCAGGCAGGGGACTGGAGACACACGTGCACAAGTGCAAGCAAAGACTGACTGCTGAGATTGCTGCTAGTTTTCTATAGCGGAAGGGAGTCAGAAGCTCCTCACTGAACTGAACCCCAGTTCCAACTGCACTGAACCCCAGTTCCGGACATGCTTGGGGGAATCTGGACTGTCAGGTGGAAACTCAGGGGAGCTGCAGAAGGTGCATGCAAGGGCAAGGCTGACGAGAAGCCAAGACTGTCTGCCAGCCCTGAGACTCCATCCCATCCAAGCTGAGCATAGAAGGTTTTGCAATATTTTTTTTTAAATATATTTTATTGATTTTGTACAGAGAAGAAGGGAGAGAGATAGAGTTAGAAACATCGATGAGAGAGAGTCATCGATCAGCTGCCTCTTGCACACCCCCTACTGGGGATATGCCCGCAACCAAGGTACATGCCCCTGACTGGAATCAAACCCGGGGCCTTTCAGTCCCCAAGCCAACACTCTATCCATTGAGCCAAACTGGTTTCGGCGGTTTTGCAATATTTTAAGTCTGGTCCTATAAGGCTGTCTCCAACACAGGTCTCCCTGTGGGGTAGAAACCAGATGGAGAGGAGCTATGAGGGGGAAAAGGAGAAACTATTGTAGTAATCTCCCGGTGTAGACACAGCTGATACACATAGTCAATTAACCTGGAGGTCAATTCCTCCCAGTGATACCCACAACAATCAAGACTTAACTACAACAAGGCTGTACACACAGACCACAAAGGGGTGCACCAAGAGTGTCCACCTCAGGTGACTGGGGAATCTGAGCCATTGGGCCGTATAGGAAACCTAGCACACAAAGCTACCCTACCAACTCAGGGAAGCAGCGAAAATGCAGAGACAAAGTAATAAATCACAAATGAAAGAAATGGAGGAAAATAAATGACTGGATATAGAATTCAAAGCCATGATTATAAGGTTTTTCAAGAATTTCCTAGAAATGGCTGATAAATTTAGCCAGACCCTCAAGGATATGAAAAAGGACCAATTAGAAATTAAATATACACTGACTAAAATAAAAAATATTATACAGAGACCCAACAGCAGACTAGAGGAAAACAAGAATCAAGTCAAAGATTTGAAATACAAAGAAGCAAAAAACACTCAATTGGAAAAAAGAAAAGAAAAAAGAACCCAAAAATTTGAATATAGTGTAAGAAGCCTCTGGGACAACTTCAAGTGTACCAACATCAGAATTATGGGGATGCCAGAAGAAGAGAGCGAGCAAGGTACTGAAAACCTATTTGAAGAAATAATGACAGAAAACTTCCCCCACTTGGTGAAAAAAAATAGACTTACAAGTCCAGAAAGCACAAAGAACCCCAAACAAAAGAAATCCAAAGAGAACCACACCAAGACACATCGTAATTAAAATGCCAAGAGCAAAAGGCAAAGAGAGAATATTGAAAGCAGCAAAAGAAAAACAGTTAATTACTTACAAGGGAGCACCCATAGGATTGTCAGATGAGTTCTATACAAAAGCTATGTGGGCCAGATGGGAGTGGCAAAAAATATTCAAAGGGATGAATAGCAAAAACCTACAACCAAGATTACTCTACCCAGCAAAGTTATCATTCAGAGTAGAAGGTCAGATAAAGAGCTTCACAGATAAGAAAAAGCTAAAGGAGTTCATCACCACCAAACTAGTATTATATGAAATGCTGAAAGGTATTCTTTAAGAAGAGGAAGAAGAAAATAGTAAAGATAAAAATTATGAACAACAAATACATATCTATCAATAAGTAAATCTAAAAATTATTATAAGTGAATTAAAAATCTAAGAAACAGAATAAATTGGTGAATATAACAGAATCAGGAGCATAGAAAGGGAGTGGACTGATAATTCTCAGGGGAAAAGAAGAATGAAAAAAAAATCGTACACCTATGGATGAGGACAGTGGGGGGAAGTAAGGGCAGAGAGTGGGGTAGAAACCAGATGGAGGGGAGCTATGAGGGGGAAAAGGAGAAACTATTGTAGTAATCTGAACAATAAAGATTTAATAAATTTTAAAAAATGCCTTGAACATGTCCTCTAAAGCCCACACTGCCTTTTTTGCATTATAATTCACCAGGTGTTCCTGGGAAGTCATTGGCATTCCAGAAAGTGGTCTGTCAGTTCTCTTCTGATGGTCTTTGCTAAAAA